GGGCTTGGGGGGTGGGGGGAGGCTCTCTTGGGGGCCTGGCAGAGGGCAGTATACCCCCTCTCTCTGCCTTCCTACTGCAAACCTAAGGACATGAGTTTTCCTTGCGTCCACTTTCACCCCTTTCCCAGATTTCTTCACTTATTGAGACCACCTGGGGATGCCTGAGCCTACCCCCAATCTTCGGGATTGAAATACAGGCTCCTCATGTGCTTCAGGTTTTATAACATCCCCAGGTGATTCCAGTTCAGTTAGAGCGCAAAGCCATTACTCCAAATTCAACTCGCCTGTGCATTTGAACGTCCACTCTTAAAGCCTGGAGGTGGGAGGGGTGTTGAGCTATTCTGGGGGCTATTTGCCCTGACACTGATTTCGCTGTCAGAATGACAGTGTCTCTGGTTTGGCCCAGCATCTGCACACGTGGGCCACAGTGGTCTAATCAAAGGATCAGAGCAAAGTGTTGTGCCAAACTGAAAAGCCCCTGAACCTGGCAGGTCTGCAGTTCAAGCCCACCAGCTGCTCCTTGGAAACCCTATACAGGGTTGCGATGGGTGGGAACCGCCTTGATGGCACTTAACAACAACAACAACAACAGAGCAAAGGGCCAGAAAGCCAGCCCCACTCAATTCCTTGGCTGACCCAGAGGGCTTTCTGGATGCTTCTCTCTGCTGGGACCGGGCATGCCAGCCCCAAGAAGGTGGACCCAGCTCGCTTGCCTTGTGTTGGTTCTTGTACCTCCTCCCACAAGGTTGGATGACAGATTGGGAGTTGCACCGGCTCTTATCTTGGAATTTGGCTAGAAGGCAAAGCTGGGATGTTTCCTGCAGATGTGACAGCTGGTATTTAGAGCCCCCCCCCCCCGCCCCTTAGCTGCGCCTATGAATGGTAGATACAGCACAAAACATCCACTCTTCTAATTGCCAAGAGATTTGCTTCAAGTAGGTGCTGTTTTATAGACAGGAAAGCCGAGGCACAGAGAGGTTGAGTACCATGTCTAATGACAACCAGCTAGTAAGTAGTGGAGCCCAGAGAGCGTACAGGCAGCCTGGCTTGAGTCCCTGCCCTGAAATTACCCTGTTTTTCAATCTGTGGACACGCTAACTAAAAAGTTGTAGGTCTGAGACCACCGCAAGGTACCTCAGAAGGCAATCTATTTCTATCCGTGTTTGAAAATTCAGTGGAGTAGAATCAAAGACTCAAGGGAACTTGTGGTCCCGAGGACTGATGGCTCACTGGAACCTTACCTCCCTGATCCTGAGACCAGAGATCTAGGTAGTGCCTGGTTACCATCCCCGACTGCTCTGAATGGGATCACAGAAGGTCCTGGACACAGCGGAAGAAAACTTCAGAACAAAATTCAAAATCATGAGAAAGACCAAATTGGGTGAAGAGAGGTTGGTGGAGCTCCGAGACTATGACCCATAGACAGTCACCCTTCAAGCCTGGCACTGAGTCCACCCTTGGGGATCAACTTGAAGCCCACAAATAGTCCACTGCTGTGGAGTCAATGACCAATCCCGACGATAAGTGTCCCACGGGGGGGTGGGATAAGTGTCCCACGGGGTTTCTGAGGTTGTAAGTCTGTACAGAGGCAGACTGTCTCTGCTTTCTCCTGAGGATCAGGTAGTGGGTTCAAACTGCTGACCTTTTGGTTAGCAACCTAATTCTTACCCCACGGCACCACTGGGCTCCTTGTTGAACAACCTACAGACCTATACAATGAAAATAACAACTGTGAGGATTGTGCTTCTACCGTACAAGACCAAAGGGCAACATCTGCCCCCTAAACAAAGCTCAGAAGGCAGAAAGAGGCAGGAATGAAGGGCAAATGGAAAGGAAGACCCACGGAGGAAGTGGAAGAGTGCTGTTATGTGAAGAGATTGCAACCAATGTCATGAAATAAAATGTGTATGAATTGTTAAATAGGAAACTAACTTTCTCAGTAAACTTTCACCTAAGCCATAAAAATGCTCACAACCAAACAAAGCAATCCACAGTGCTCGTCTGCCAGGGCCTCCATGAGGAGGAATGGACTAGCTTTTCAGTGTGGCTAATAATCGTTTTTAAATTTACAAAGTGATGGCCCCTGGGGGCCTGGGGAAGAGGAGGAGCGGTTTCAGCTGCCAACAAGTGAACTGTGATCCCACACATCTCTGGCAGGTCAGGAACCTGCCAGGCACCTTAGGGATGCTGATAGACCATGTCCGGGTACCAGGTTTGCTCTGGCAGCAGCTTTGCTGCATAAGCCTGTTTGGGCTTCCCTGGGTATCTCTGAGTGCCCACCTCTGGTCTCACACCCCTGCCAGCACCTACCTTCCTGGGCAACACTGGCGGCACGTGCCTTGGTCCAGGAGGCAGGCTGCACCTCCCAACCCCCAGCTGCTAAAGGTCTGCCACACCTACAGATTTGAGGTGCATGTTTCTCAGGTGGCACTTTGTCACCCAGGCCCCTCTCCCACTTTGAGGACATCTTCTAGAAAATGTCCCATTGATGCAGGACATCTGGACAGAGCCTGACTTGGGAGTTCCTCCAAGACACAGATGCCCTGGGGAACCAGGCTGGGTGCCAGTGATCCCTCTTCACCATGGGTAGGGTTCTTGCTACCTCCTTGCACAGGTGGGACATCCCTGCATACTCTGAAACCTGGGGGCTTTCATCAAGCCAGTGTTTACTAAACTCTTGACTGTATATCGTACACTGTTCAATACCATGGGGATGAATACATAGGGGCCCTGCCTCATGGAGCTGCAATGTGAGTATGTGGACAGATGCTGTAAACAGCTGGCCAGGGACCTGATGCCAATAGAAACCTGAAGAAAAATGTGGGAGTGAGCTGTACATTCATGGGGGTTAGTCCCTGAGGATGTGCAAAGGTCCTGAGGCAGAAACAAATGAGCATGCTCGAGGACCAACCAGGAGGCTAAATAGAGTCAGGGGAGGCCTGAGAAGAGACTCGAAGGTCAGGCCAAGTTCAGACCCGAAATTCAAAATCACTTTGGTCTTTTAAAAATAGACTTGTGACTATTTAAGAAGCCCTGTAGGTTCCATGGGTTAAGTGATTGGCTTCTAACTGCAAAGTCAGAGGTGAAAACCCACCAGCTGCTCCTTGGAAGAAAGATGAGGCAGTTGGCTTCCGTAAAGATTCACAGCCTTGAAAACTCTATGGAGCGGTTCTGCACTGTCCTCCAGGGTCACTCTGAGTTGAAATTGACTTGACAGCAGTTTGGTTTTGTGATTGTGACTCTTGTATTTTCCAAAGGATGACATGACTTCCCCCCTTTGCTCCCCCAAATTAGAAACCCAAATAGACTTAGCTAACAGGCAGACAGTGTCTTTGGGGGTCTGTCCATGCAGGGAGGACCTGGGGGAGCCAGGTGGTCAGCAAGGCTGCCTGATGAGCCCTGAGGGGTGTCTGACCTCCACAGTTAAGCTGAGCTGGGTTGGGGGGCAGCTGTGAGGAGGGATTTGGGGTCTGTACTGCCTTGGTGCTCTGTGGGTGACAAGGAAGCATGCCTGGGATCCCTGGGAACTGGGGTAGGCATAGCTGAGTAAGTGGATGGGGAGGTAGAGATGCCTGGCTCCCAAGTTGGTAGGATGGTGAAGAGAACTAGCCCTGTGCCTGCCTTGAGGACACCCCAGATGGCATTTGGGGGTCTACCCATTATCCTTGGTGGTGTGCACTGTGGAACACAGCAAATACCTGCACCCAGTGAAACGGAACGCTAGCCCTCAACCCCATAGCATTGTGGCTGCTAATCGCCCATTCTCTGCTTCTGGTCAGAGATGGTGACCCTGAGAAGGAAGAAAGGAGGAGAGAACCAGGGGATTAGTGCCCAGAGTTGGCACAGGCTGATGGGTGAATGGAGTAAGGAGACAGGAGTCAGGCCCCACCCAAGCTTCCAGGCTCCTGGGTGTCTGGAGGGGGGACCAGGTGTGTCAGGCCCAGGTGGAAGGGGCCCATTGGCTGACCTGGAGCTGGGATCCGGGAAGAAGGAACTGTCAGGGGCAGCGGCAGACTTCTGCAGCAGAGATTCTGGAAGGCCCCGCCTTAACTTCTGCTTGCAAAGGTGCTAGGGTCCTTCCCTTCACAGTGAGCCAGAATGACAGGAAGCTTTTGGGGGCGAGGTCTCCCTTTTTAGTCCCTCTTGGTGGGGATGGGGATGATACGTAACCTCCCAGTGTTGGAATCTTCAGGTGCAAGATTCAAGGACTCTGGTCTACCAGTTGTTCAGGTGGGTTTGGGGGCTGACTGCAGGTTCAGTATTCTACACAGTCAGGACAGTGGGAGACCCTGAAAGCCCCTTTCCCTCCCCCTAGCTGGCCCCATGCCCGCTCTTTGTCGAGGGGCCTTGCTACGAGCTGGGCAGGTTGGCTTTGCACCGTTTTCACTGCCTGGGCATCAGGTCCCAGGCCAAGGGGAGTTCCTGTGTTGGTCTCCGGTGCTCATACATCTCCAGGGAATGGACCAGGTGTGCTCTTCCCCTGTTGGACCTAAGGAGCCGCAGGGTGTGTTGAGAACAGCTGAGCCCTGTATACAAAGGCTAACAAGTACTATCACTTAGTGTCCCCTCTTTCACACGACGAGGGTCCAGTCAGCTGTAGCCCAGCTCCCAGTGAGACCATGGTGAAGCTGGACTTGAGTAGGACCAGGGGGCCTGAGAAAGCATGTGCACGCTCAGAGATCTAGATGGCTTTGGCAGACCCCTCACCTGCACCAGTGTGGGCTAGCCTTGTCCTCCCAGGAGCAGTTGTGGAGGCTCGAGGCCCCTTCCTGATGTCCACCTCTTTGTATCAAGGCAGTGCAAACACCCCCACACCCTGCATGCCTTTATGTTCAGCCAGCGGGACGTGCCAGAGCCTTCTGTCCTGGGGAAGCCAGGGCTGGCAGGCATTGGGCGGCCGAGGCTGCTGTGCTATACATCTTGCCAGGCCTCACCCCATACCTAGGCTGGACAGGCTCTGCAGAACCCTGAGGAAGCTGGCCACTGGTCATTCCGCAGCCATGCGGGTAGGCTCTGGGAGAGGTGGCTTAGCCTGCTTGGTCTCTCTCCCTGTATCCCACAGCTGGACAGGGACAACGAGTCCCTCCCCCCCGAAGGGAATTGATACCTCTGGCCTCCTTGATGGACCATGGACCCTGCAGTCGGGGCTACACAAATGAGGCATGGCCCCCGTTAACAGATAAGCAAACTGAGGTTGCAGGTCTTACAGCGCACCCTCTTTAGAATAAGAGCTAAGCCTTGTAGAAAATGAGTTGCGGGGGGCGGGGATACTTTGTCTTTGGATAAATGGTATCTTATTCATCTCACGTGGCTGATTATTCCAAGGTGTATGTACCTCTCCAGTGGTACTCTTCCCCTTAAATACCAGTCTTGGGTTTGGCTGAAAATTGAGCCATGTGGGTGAGATCAGTGCCCACGTCCTGCCCCCACCCCCCTGCCACCTGGAAGCTCCATCAGTATGTGACCCCATGCTGGTGCTGTGGCCTTCCTGGCCTGGCACGATGCTCCCTTTGTCCACTCTGCGCTGGCCAGGGGGCTGGAGAGGCTCGACTCAGCTTTGCTTTGTGCACCATCCCCGTCCCCTTGTCCACAGACCTGTCTGATGCCAGCCTGTATCTTGGGCTCTGATGCCAGCACTTCAGCTGAGGTGGGATGTTAGGAGCTGTTTCCTGAGTCAGGAGACCCCTGGGGGGCTTATAGGTCTCTGTTCTGGGTGGAGTCCATTGGGGCTGTAGATAGTTAACATGCTCAGCTACTAACTGAAAGGCTGGTCGTTGGAGCCCATGCAGAGGTACCTTAGAAGAAAGTCCTGGGCATCAGCTCCACAAAGCCCAGTTCTACTCTGACCCACGAGTCCCAGAGCCTGTGGTGCTCAGTCCGCTGCTCTCACCCCTATAGTTCTGAGACCTGTGCCGCCTCTCAAGCCCTCTCTGGGTGTGGGTTTGGGAAGGAAGGCCATGGAGGAGTTCGAGCAGCTGACTCCCTCTCCCTGCCACCCTTCCATCTACGTGGACTGAATGACAGTCTCCACAAACACTTGTTGTGTGATGCCCCACTCTCATGTCTGTCTGTCTCGCCCACCTGGCGCTGGTTGGTCGGGGTGCCCAGCCTCCTCACCTGGGGCGTGGTTCACATAGGAGCTGGGTGCACAGGGTTCGTGATTCAGATAACGTCTTCTGGGGAGAGTGTGGCCGCAGGGGGCCACCGTGGAGGCCGAGTATGTGTCAGCATGGGCTGATTAGTCACTTAGTCCTCTGCGGTGTCTTAGTTCAGAGGAAGAAGTGGGCGATTTTAGGTGAGATGATCAGGAAGTAAGAAACCAGAAATCTGAGGAAGTACAGAGCTCCCCAGAGAGAGAGGAGAGATGTTTCCCGCATGGGTTGCTGGTTTCTTGAAGCTTGGTGATTAATGAAAGATACAGGTTATGACACCAGCCACTCCTCAGAAACCCTCTATGGATCAATCGGAACTGACTCGACGGCCATTAACAACATACATGTTGACAAGGCTGATAGAGACGTGCTGTACGCAATTAGGACTCGAGGTGTGGTGCGCTCGACTTTGAACCCCAAGGTTGGCAGTTCAAAACCACCAGCTGCTCCTCAGAAAACCTCTTAACAGGGTCGCTATGAGTAGGAACTGACTCAGTGACGCTTAGCAGTAACAACAATCTATAATTAAAGAACATACTATAAATGCTACAGCGATCGATATTAAATCAGAATCGTCATGTTTGCAGGGAGGCTATGTTGAGTAAATAGCATATCTAATAACATAAGATGTACTTGCCTACATGCATGGGGCAGTGAGTGTAATGCCAAATTAAACATTGGGACAGCGTGGTTCCCTATGGTAAGCACTGGACTGCAAACCACAAGGTCTGTGGTTCGAGCCCACCGACTGCTTCCTGGGAGAAAGCCTCTGAAACCTTGTGCAGGGTTGCTATGAGTCAGTACTGACTCAACAGCCCTGAACACTGACAAATGGTACCTAGTGCATCCGTGTGGACGTTGGATCCTAGGCTGCCCAGCTGGGTCACTACCTGTGCCACATCGTTTTGCTCCTTGAATGCTCTGAATTGAAGCTTGTTCAGGGATGAGGGCTTGTCCCACTGGCCTTACTTAGAAAGCAGGTCTCACAAACAGGCTGACGTGGGTACAAAGGTCCCAGCGGAATCATCTGGACCCTTCTCCCCGACCCCAGTTCTCAGCTTAATCCCATCTGCAAAGTCCCTCGTGCCACGTGAGGTGACCAGTCTTCATTTTGAGGATGTAGACGTCTTGGGGCCATTGTTTGCTGACCACACAAACCAAGGGGCACAGTTGTGGCCTCTTCGTTGGGGGGAAACAGGGTTACCCTGAGTGTCCCTGGAGCCCCTTCCTCTGTCTCCAAGCCTTGTGTGCGCCCTATTGGTGGGCCTCACACATGGGGCAGATGGGGTGCTGGCCAGCAGGGGTGCTGCCTTTGCACAGGCTGATGCCCAGGTGGCCTTAGGAAGCACATGCCTAGGAGGGAGGAAAATGCACACTCTGGGCTCTCTTCCTGGTGGGCGGGACATGGTATCTGCTCCTGTCTCCAGGCATGTCTGAGCACCGCCAGACACCAGCCCTGGGGTTAGGGAGAGGACTGAGTCCCCGACCACACAGAGATGGAGTCAGGGCCAAGGGAACATCCAATGGGACAGTCCAGCATAGAGGCAGCCGGGGGCCCCAGCCTGAGGGGCCTGAGAACCTGACGTGCCCTGAGCCCAGACACTGGGGGAGCCAGGCCCCTCCCGTGGGCCTGAAAAGAGCAGACAGATGTGAACCTAGGCACGGTGCCTGGGCCAGAATGACAGGGCTCAAATCCCATCACTGCCTCCGTTTCAGCGTCTGTAAAACCAGAGCACCGCTACCTCGGAGGCTGACTGAGGGCAGTGAAGGGCTAGATGAGGAAATGTCAGGTGGTTATGGGCAGGACCACCTGGATGTGGGCGCCCCTCCTGTGTGTCGGTGCAGAACCATGTGACAGTGTTTTCAATGACTCCCAGACTTTCTCCCAAGGAGCCTCTCCGTGGACTCCAACCCCAACCTTTGGTTAGCAGCTGGGTGCATTAACTGTCACCCAGAAAGTCCAAGTCAAGAAAGGAGGGCGGATTGAAGGGTGAATGTGTGTGAGAATGATGGGAAGTGGAAGGGGGCTTACATGTGCCTTAGAAAGCAGACGCCATCTAGTTCTTCATAGCTTCCTCATACTCATGTTCTCAGACTGATGAGCAGGGAAGGGGAGGAGCCGCCTCTTACAGCCTTGGCCACCATGTGGTTCAGGAACATAGACTTCAGATACTTGCCTTATTTTTTTCTTTCCTTTCCTCTCATTTCTTTAAATTTCATTGTGAATTGTTGAGTGGATGAAGGTTTACAGAGCACATCAGTTCAATAATTCACATGCGTGTTGTTTCATCTCATTGACTACAATCCCCACAATGCAACATCACCCTTCCAACTTCCTTACTGTGTTTCCTATTCCCATGCTGCCTCCTTTCCTCACCCTTCTGAACCTTGTCCTTAATATAAATTCTGCCCTTTTTATCTCAAATAGTTGATCATTCTAAGATGTGTGTACCTCCCTAGTGTTACTGTTCCCCTTCTAGACCTGTCTACTGTTTGGCTGAAAAATAAACCACTGGGTTCAGTTCAGTTCTGGACCTGAAGTGGGACTGAGAGCCACAGACTCAGTAAGCCTGGTCTTTGTTAAGACTTTGCATTTTGTCTCAAAGTCGCTCTATCCAGAACCTCCTCATGTGATCTCAGTCAGAGTGGTGGGTAGGTGTAGGGGTGCCATCTAGTTCTTCGTATTTCAGGATCACTGAGACCGGTGTTGACATGGGTCATTAGGCCCCTGGACTCCTGTTTCCAGGTGTCTTCAGTTGTCCTCACTTTTCTTCCCTTCAGACAGGGAGAGACCAGGAGGTGCTCATGAGCTTGTAAAGATCCCAGTTGCTACTCACCGAAGTAGGACATTGTTGACTATATTATGACAACTGATCTTGCTGTCCCCCAAGACCATAGTCCTGAGCTCCCGGGCCCAACAACTGATTCCCTCAAGGGGTTTGGTTGTATCCAAGACATTTTCATAACTTTGACCCCTGTATGCTCCACTATGTTCATGGATATATTTGCAGCATGGGTAAATACACATGTAGAAATACCTTTTTTCAAACCTTATATAGATGGGTGCATATATATTCAGCCTGCGTGTCTATCGTGCGCCCTCTCGCAGATCACCATATTGCAGAAGTGTGGATATATAACAAGGCTCACCTGTGGCCTCTAACCCTGTTCCTCCCATGGCTTCCCCTGCCTCCCTCGCTCTTTTACTGACCACCCTCTTATTGTATGTTGCCTTCCTCTTCACCCAAGGTATCAGGTATCTACACTGTAGTTAGTACTGTGGTCACAAACTGGGCTGCTAATCTCAAGGTCACCAGTTTGAAATTACCAGTGGTTTCGCAGGAGAAAGATGTTTCTGTAAGCATTTACAGCCTTGGAAACCCTCTGCTGGGTTGCTATGAGTCGGAACTGGCTTCACAGCACATCATCACTCCTACCCCCTCACCCCCCTCTAGTTAGTGATTTACCTTTGCTTCCCCTCCCACCCCTAGTAACCACCAAAGAATGTTTCTTTGAGTGTGAAAACCTTTTCTTGACTTTTTACAATCAATAATGGTCTCTTTATAATATCTGTCCTCTACAGATTCATCTTTGTTGTTCAGCGTTGCGTTGTGTTCCATTGAGTGTATGTACCATTTTTTGTTTGACCCTCTCTTCCATTGATGGGCATTGGGGATGTTTGCCACGTGGTGGTGCTGTGAACAGGACTGAGACTGCGACCCATAAGGCATTTCTGTTTCCACCTTTTGAGGGAGGTGCCATACTGTTTTCCACAGTGATCGCGCCATCAAAGATCTCTTTAACGTGTTAAAAAGCAAAGGTGTCACTTTTATGGCTGATGCATACCTGTATTTTATCATGGTGTTTTCATTCACCTCATATGCATTACAAAAGCTGGGCAATGAATAAGGAAGACCAAAGAAGAACTGATGTCTTTGCAGTGTGGCGCTGGGGGAGAATCTCGGAAGAACTGTGGCCTGCCAGAAGAGCAACCCATCTGTTTTGGAAGAGGTTTGCTCCTTTGAAGCTAGGATGGCGGGTTCATTTCTCATACATTGGATATGTCATCAGAAGGGCCCAGTCCCTGAAGAAGCACAGCATGCTCGGACAAGCAGAGAGTCCGTGAAAAAGAGGAAGACCCTCAATGCGATGGATGGACAGAGTGGTTGAGAGCGTGGGCTCAAGAGAACAACTATGGTGAGGATGCACAGGACCGGGAAGTACTTTGTTCATTTGTACGTAGAGTCCCGACGAGTTACAACTTTTTCAGTGGCACCTAAGAACAAGAGCAGCACCCCTTTGTATGTTGACACCACATTTTCTGTATCCATTCATCTGTTGATGGGCATTTGGATGGTTTCCACCTTTTGCCTGTTGGGAAGAATGTCAGAATGAACACTGGTATAGGAGTTTCTGTTGGTATTTCTGCGTTGGCTACTTGGGTCCACACTTCAGATTGTGTGACATGGCAGTTCCGTGTTGAGTTTGTTGCGGAGCTTGCATACTGCCTTCCACAGCGACTGTACCAGCTTACCTTGAGGATTCCAGGTTCTCTGCAACCTCATCAGCAGCTACCTGGTTGTTTTTAAACAGTTGCCATTGTAACGGGAGTTAGTGGTACCTCATTGAGGTTTTGATTTACAGCTTCCTGAAGATCATAAAGGAGCCTTGGTCCTTCAGTGGTTAAAACACCCGGCAGTTAACCAAAAGGTCAGCAGTTCAAACCCACCAACCACTCAATGGCAGAAATATGTGGCAATCTGCTTCCACAAAGATGGTTGTTGTTGTAAGTGCCATCGAGTCGGTTCCGACCCGCAGTGACTCTGTATCGGGTTTCCGATGAGCGGCTCGTGAGCTTGAACCGCTGCCATCCTTATGGTTCAAACCGACCTTGCAGTCCAGCATATTAACCCACAATATCTGTGTTTCAGGGGATGGTTTTTCATTTGTTAAGTTATGTTGTTAGGTGTTGTCCTGTCGATTCTGAATCACGACAACCCGTTGCATACCAGAACAAAACATTGCCTAATCCTGCACATCCTCACAGTTGTTAGGGTGAAACCCACTGCTGCCTTGGTGTCAGGCCATCTTGTTTCAGATCGTCCTCTTCCTGACCCTCCCCTTTCCCAAGCATGACATCCTTCTCCAGGGCCTAGGCCCTCCTGATGACTGGTCCAAAGTACGCAAGACGAGATCTCCCCAGTGTAGCTTCTAAGGAGCATTCTAGTTGTATCTCTTCCAAGACAGATATGTTGATGTTGCTCTTCCCACAGTCCATGGTACTTTCAATATGCATTTCATAATTCAAATGCATCGATTCTTCTGTGGTCTTCCTTATTCACTGTCCAACTTTCACAAATATACGAGGCAATGGAAAATACCATGACTTGGGTCAGGTCACCAACAGACATCTTGGCTCTTGAAGACTTTACAGAGGTCTCGTGCAGCATACGTGCCTATTGCATGCAATACAGCATTTGATTTCTTGGCTGTTGCTTGCGTGAGTGTTGCTGATGGATCCAAGCAAAATGAAGTCTTTGGCAATTTCAGTATTTTCTCTATTCATCATGATGTTATTTATTGGTCCAGTAGTAAGAATTTTTGTTTCCTTTACATTGAAGTACAATCCATGCAGGGAAGGGTGTAGTCTTTGATCTTCATCAGTAAATATTTTATGTCCTCTTTATTTCCAGCAAGCAAGGTTGTATCATCTATATGTTGTTGTTATTGTCATCAAGTGCCTTCGAGTCAATTCTGACCCATAGCAACCCTGTGTAGGGTTTCCAGGGAACAGATGGTGACTTTGAACTGCCAACCTTGCAGTTCAAACGGCTTTGCAGTCTGGCGCATTAACCTACAGCGCTACACCAGGACTCAGTCATCTGTATATCACAAGTTAATGAATCTTCCTTAAAACCTGACACCACGTTCTTCATTTTATAATCTAGTTTCTGATTATTTGCTCAGCATACAAACTAAATAAGTATGGTGAAAGGAGATAACCCCGGGGCACACCTTCCCTGATTTTACATCAGTTGGTATCTCCTTGTTGTGTTCTAACCACTGTCTTCTGGTCTGCATACAGGTTCCTCTCGAGCACAATTAAGTGTTCTGGAATGCCCATTCTTGGCAATGTTATCCATAGTTTGATATGTCCCATGCAGTCCAATGCCTTTGCACAGTCAATAAAGCAAGCGCAAGCAAACATCTTCCTGGCATTCTCTGCTTTCAGCCCATGATATCTCTAGTTCCAGATCCTCTTCTGAATCCGGTTTGAATTTACGGCTGCTCCCTACCAGTGTTCTGCTGTTACTGTGTTCTAAATGATCTTGAGTAAAATTGTACTTGTATGTTATATTAATGATACTGTCAGATGGTTTCCTCATTCCATTGGTCACCTTTCTTTGGAATGGGCACAGGGATAGATGTTTTCCTATCACTTGGCAAAATATTCCAACTTTCTTGGCATAGATGAGTAAGCACCTCCAGTGCTGAATGAAATCAGTTTGTTGGAAATTTCAGTCTGTATTCTGTAAATGCCTGGAGCCTTCAGTGCCACTGGTTTTTGATCATCATCTGCTGCCTATTGAAATGGTTAAACATTGACCATTTGTTTTTGGTGCAGTGACTGTATTCCTTCCATCTTCTTTTGAGGCTTCCTGCATCATTGACTATTTTGCCCATCGGATCATCACTTCTTTTTAGCTTGAGAAATGATGGATGTGTTTTGTTTGTTTTCTGTACTCCAGGTCTTTGTATATTTTATTCTAATACTTTGGCTTCTCGAGCTGTCCTTTGGAATTTTCTGTTGAGTTCTACTTCGTTTGTTCCATTCACTTTTTTAATGACCTTTTGCTTTCTTTCTGTATGACGTTCTTGATGTCATCCCGCAACTCGTCTGGTGTAGGTTCATACTGTCTAATGCATCAAATCTGTTCTTGAGATAGTCTGTAAATTCAGGTGGGATATAGTCAAGGAGCTCTGGTAGCGTAGTGGTTACGAATCGGGCTGTGAGCCTTAAGGTCAGCGGCTTGAAACTACCAGCCGCTCCACCGGAGAAAGATGAGGCTTTCTACTCCAGTAAAGATTTACACCCTCAGAAACCCTGTACAGGGTCACTATGGGTCAGAACCGACTCGACGGCACTTAACAACAACAATAGTCAAGGTCATATTTAGGTTCTTGTGGACTTGTTTTAATTGTCTTCAGCTTCAGCCTGAACTTGTGTATGGGCAATTGATGGTCTGTTCCACAGTGTACTCCTGGGCCTTGTTTTGGCTGATGATATGGCTGCTGGCCACATCTTGGCAGAAGTTATTTGAGCTTTTCCTACTGTCCCTTCCCACAGTTGTAGGCAATCTGATTCCGTGTGTTCCATCTAGTGAGGTTCATGCTGTTGAAAAAAGGTATTTGCAAGGAAAAGTCACTGGTCTTGGAAAATTCTGTCATACCATCTCCAGCATCATTTCTGTCACCAGAATCATGCTTTCCAACTACTGAGTCTTCCTCTTTATTTCCAACTTTTCACATTCTAATTATCAGTAATTACCAATGCATCCTGACGCATAGATTTGAATGCAACACTGTTTCTTTTCAGTGTGTTCTTTTTGATAAGCTGACACCATTCCTCTTCAATTTGTCATTGCCATCATAGTAAACTGTATGGTTGTCACATTTAAGATGGCCAACACCAGTTCATTTCAGCTCACTAACACCTAGAATAGCAGTCTATGTGCGTTCCATTTCATTTTTGATAACTTCCAATTTTCCTAGATTGATACTTCATACATTCCATGTTCCAATTATTAATAGATGATGTTGGAAGCTGTTTTCTCATTTTGTGTTTTGCCTCATCAGCAAATAAGTTTCGAAAGGTTTACTCCATTTCCGTATCATGGTCAACTCAACCCTGAGGAGGCGGCAGGTCTTGCCATCGTATTTTGAGTGCCTTCCAACCTGACAGGCTCATCTTCTAGCACTGTATCTGGTAATATTCTGGTGTTAGGCATGTTTTTCTCTTCCAGCACTTATAGTCTGACAATGCCCTGCTGCTATTCACAGGAGGTTTTCAGAGGCTAGACATCATCTTCCTTAAGCTCAGCTGAAACCTGTCCACCATGGATGACCCTGCTGGAATTTAAAATACCAGTGGCATCGTTTCTAGCATCACAGCAACATGCAAGCCACCTCAGTAGGACAAAATGACAGATTGTAGTTGTTAGTGTTAGGAATATTTTATGTCTCGGACCCTTAGCGGATATTGGTTCCCCCAGACTGTAGGGTCCCTCTTCACTTTGTGCAGGAATTTCTTCATGCACTAAAGTACAGATGAGTCTTCAACAACACGGAGATCAGGGGTGCTGACCTCCCCCGCGGTTAAAAGTCTGGCCACAATTTACAGCTGACTCCTGGGCAGCATGGGTTTGGGCTATGTGGGCCCTTGTATCGCAGATTTTTTTTTCCTGCTGCACTGGAGGGTGAGCTCATATGTTATGGGTATCTGTCTGGATTGTGTGATGCCAACCATCCGCATGAGAAGTCTGTCTGCCCAGTTAGGGGGATGGCAGGAGTTGGCAGTTCCTGTATTTAAATTTTATATGTCTCATCTTCTCTTTGGTGGCTCCACTTTTGGCACAGTAGTTGAGGGCTGAGGAATGGCAGGTGTAGGGGTCACCGCTCCTCATTCACTTCTGTGACTTAGAATGAATTGAGCCTTTCCCTCTGGAATCTGGCTCCTGCTTCATGGTTTGCGCCTACCGCACCACATAGTTTGGAGGCGCCAGGGCATGGGCAGTTTGCACACCCTAGGGAGTAATGTCAGATTCCTGGTGTGGCTCTGCGGGTTAATGTGCTGGACTGCAAGATCGGTTTGAACCACAAGGTCAGTGCAGTGGTTCAAGCTCACCAGCCTCTCCTCAGAGGTTGGTATGGGTCAGAACCAACTTGATGGCACTTAACAAGGGAGTGAGGTTGACATTCCCTACCCCGGACATGGGATGATCAACCTGCTAGCCACTGACCATTGCCACCAAGTTTCCAAAACCAGGATAGGTGGCCAGGTGTGCACAGAAGGTGGCTGTCCCCAGGCCTGGCTAGGCCAAGGTTGGGTGCATAGGTCCCTGTCCCGAATGGCTGTATAACCGTGTCTGTGGATCTGCCCACAGCGGCCCACCCTCCCACGGACTCCGCCGGTGCTGGAGACAAGGCCCAGGATGCTGCCCGTCTTCTTTGGGGAGAGCATCGAGGTGAGCCCAGAACCCACACATGAGATCCGGTGAGTGGACCGTGGGCTGGCAGCCTCGCCGTTCTGGGTGCTGGTTTGGGAGAAGGGCGGCTGATTCTTTATTGTGAGTTATCTCTGGTTGGTAGGAATGGTTAAATGTGCCCAGTTGCCTAAGTCTATCCAGGGGCACCTAGGAAAAAAGGCCTGGCAACCTACTAAAACACCAGCCACAGAAAAAACCCTGTGGGACGGCTCTACCATGACGTACATGGTGGTGCTGTGAATTAGAACCCGTGTGATGCCAACTGGTGTTTTGTAGAGTGTTAAGTTCATGGAAAAATCCCATTATCTTTGCATTCCATTTTTTGTGCAGACTTTTCTAAGTTTTCTCATGGACATAGGCCGTCCCTGGGTATCAAGTGAAGAGAATTGGTAGATTATTGAAACCGGTACATGTGGTTTTTATTTAGCCTCACTTTAGGGCAAGAGAGCCCTCGTTGGGCAGCCGTTAGCTTAGCTGCTAACCTCAAGGCTGGCAGTTCAAATCCACCAGCTGCTCCAAAGGGAGCATGATGAGGCAGCAAAGGGGCAGCTCTACTCATCCTGTAGGGGTGCTGTGATTAGGAATTGACCCAGCGGCAGCTGAGGTTAAGTTTTGGGTTTAGTGCGGGGGAGAAAAAACACAAAACTTTTCCGGGGTTTGAAAGCAGGGGACTGTGATAAAGAATGTGAGGTGAGTTGCAGTTGGTTCAGTGAGGGCAATTTTATATTAACAGTAATGAGCAAGTGGGAGTTGTGTCTCTCACCCAGGTCTGCTTGTAGAACGCTGTGTGCACTGTAATGGTCTTCAGTCCATGTGTGTATTACCTGTCACAACTTGGTCAGTGTCATTTCAACAAAAACTTGTACCCATAACTCCCTGCCCCCATCCCATGCCCTGGTGACGATTTCTAAGGTTGGCAGTTCAAATCCACCAGCTGCTCCTTGGAAGCCACCCTATCCAGGGTCACTATGACTCAGAACTGACTCAAAGGGGCTTAACATTGTCCATATAAGTGGGTGTCACGATATCTGTCCTGATTTTCAAGGTCTGTCCACACAGTAGCATGCATCTGAACTTGGGTTTTCTTTACAGATGTGTAACATTCTATTGTTGGATTTTTACAAGAGATCCAACCTCACAGGCCAGGAAGGAACCTTGGGAGTGAAACGACTCCCCTCCGGCTCCCCCTTAGGTCCTGCTCCTTGGGGGTCCTCTGTCCTCATCTTTTCCCAGGTGTAGGTGTGGCCAGTGGGCATCTTGAGGGTCCCTGTGTATCCCTGTGTGCAGTGTTGCCATGGACTTGTAGCCTCAGATTTCTGATTTTTCTGATTTATGTGGCGATTTGCTCTCTTCGGAGGGGCTGGGACTAGTTTTCCAAAGTGGAAGTTTTGACTCTGGGGATTTCGGCTGTATGTCTACCTCAACCTAGGCCTGCTACTTAACACAACCACCAAAGTGACTCTGGTGGTGAGACCGGCTCGTTTCACAACACACAACAGATAGAGTGACATTCTCCCATGTCAACCCTGGTCCTTTAATGTGTATTTTGTCAGCATGGGGAATTATATTCTCTTAGGTCACATCCGGAAATGTTCTGTAGCACATTACTTGGTGCCTCAATAATTGGAATTATAAAATGGCAGCATCCACCCCCCCGGCCACCCATAGGCTCTGTAGTCACCCCCAACTGGAATGTGTGTGGGGGGTAGGGGGGGTGGGGGGGGTAGGGGGTTGGGTGGTAATATCTCACCTTCACCACGGGAGATCAGGTTTGATTCCTGGCAAACCCATGTGCGGTGGAGGCGTGTGGCTGGAAATGGTGCCCCCGTACCAGCAGGGTCAGCGGAGCTTCCAGACTAAAATGAACTATGCAGAAAGACCTGGTGATCTGCTTTCCTAAACCAGTCAATGCAGAGTCAGGGCGCCGCGGGTTGGGGCTGACTTGGTGGCAGCTATAAGTCTTTGTTGACCTTGGTGTTATAAAGAGATCAGCTCTTTGGTGTCAGCCCGCCTCCTGCGACACTGTGGACCCAGCCCGGCTCCCCTTGAGGCCTCTCTGCGCCCTTCTTCCTCCGCAGCTGCAACTCCGAGGTCAAGTACGTGGCAGAGAAGCACTTCCGGGACAACGTCTTCTACGCGCCGGTGCCCACCATCACCGCCTACAGCGAGACTATCGTGGCGGCGCCTAACTGCACGTGGCGTAACTACCGCAGCCAGCTGACCCTGGAGCCGCGCCCGCGAGCCCTGCACTTCGAGAGTACCACCATTATCTTCCCCAAGCACGCCCGCAACTCCTTCCGTACCACCGTGCACTGCAGCCTGGGCCGGCCCAGCCGCAGGTTCGGCGCCAGCGTCCAGCTCGCACAGCATCAGTTGCCAGGCCCTGCAGGGCTCTGATGGCCCCGCCTTCCCCATTGTGCAACTCGGGGAGCGAGGACGGCTGAGCCGCTGCCTCTATGTGCTCCCTACCAGCGTTCACTCTGGAGAGCCAGTGAGTGGTCCACCGGGGCCACGTCACAGACTTAGCGTGCTCTCCCACCCAGGTGGCCCGTGCTAAATGCACCGGGTCCAACCGCGAGAAGGGGGGGCTTCAAATTTTCCACTCACCAGGACCGGGGTGGAAGGCCGCCTCCTCACTCACTTCCTACCGGCCCCCCAGTCAGAAGGAACAAGAGACCATCCCTCTCATCACCAGGTAAAGGACTCTCTCGTCGCTCGAATATTATTCGCTTTTTAATCAGAACGTGTGTTAATGACAGAACGCGTGTCAAGTTCTTTCTGCCCGAGGGAGGGAGAAGGAGGTCGGGGCTGTGGCTGGAGCCCCCCCCTCCGTCCCGCGGTGACGCTCCCCACGGGCAGCCTGCACGCAGCTCCTAACAATCAGCAGAGATGAAGCGCAGCAGCAATAACACTGGGTCAAGTCCTTCTTCGCGTAAAACATCTGCATTAATTCATTGAAGGTATCAAAAATATACCCTGTAAACCAAGACCTCCTGGACATCTGCCTTTCCTTCCCACCGCTGCGACGACGGCGTGTTAACGGTCCCGGGCTTCCGGCTGCACCCGGCTTCTGCAGTCTCGGGCCGGGCAGCCCAGGGGCTGGGGACGAGGGCGCTGGACAGAGCCTGTGTCCATCTGTCCAGAGCACTAAGCGGAATGGGGCGGGGGGGTGCAAGGGGGCTGCTAGCTCAGTTTAGACTTTGGTTCCAAATGCGTTGGGGGGAGGCAGTGGCCGGGAGGTACGTGGTCGTCCTGCTTTGGGTCCCTGGCCGCGGGTGTGCCACCACATGCCCGCGTGCCCCCCTCCCTCCCGAGCACCAGGTAAACATCCCCTGAGTAAGGTCTGTCTGTACAGGGCCAGCCCGGGGCGGGAGTCTTAGTTTAAGGCTTTTAGACAGGCACGGACACGCGGGGCTCCTTCCTCTGAGTAGCGGGAGTCGGCGTCCACCCCTGCTCACTCGCTGTCCGAGAGCGTCTCATATTGCGAGCAGAGCAGGGGCTTGGGTTCCTCGTCCCAGGCGTGGTGGGGGCCGGCAGGGAGGCCGGGTGGGGGTGGTGAGGACATGACACCCGCCTGCAGCCGCACGATCAGAGGGTTGTAGGGGAAGGGGGTGGAGCCTGTGGGGAGACGGCCCCTTGTGAGCACAACTGCCTCCCGCCTGCTCTCCAGCAGCCAAGAGTCCCCACCCTCACTACTTCCAGAAGCTTCCATCCTCACGTCAGGGGCCCCATCGGTGCCCACCTGCCGATGAGGGCCGGTCTTCCCAAACACGGTTGGTGAGCGGCGTCCGGCGGTTGCAGTCCCCTTCTGAGTGCACTGAGGAGACCGAGGGGGGTCGGTCCCCTGATGCCAAGCCTGGGGCTGGGGACTTAGTTTTCCGACTGCTGGGTCTGCCCGACACCTTGGCCTTCCCACCACTGCCACCACCTGCAGGAAAAGTGGAGGGGGGTCAGGTCACACTGGGCCCAGAGGGATGGCACAGGCCCCTCTATCGAGGGATAGTAGTGTGACCCCCCCTGGGGGGGAGGGGACTTAAGTCTATCTCTGGACTTACTGCCCTGGGAATTGGAAAAGGGACATTGGGGTTGTGGGGCTGGCCACTAATTCAGAGTTCAGACACCTCCTGTGGTGTCCACGTCCCTTCTCGGATGTGAACTGGCCTCTGCTCCCCCCACCTCCTAGGGGCTCTTCCTGGGCTGTCCCCCCAAGAAAGGAAGGGACATCGGGGTGTCTCGGGCATCTCTGTCCAGCAGGGAGGGTGGCAGGCGAGTGGGTTTAGGGGAGCAGCAGCATTTCCAGCCTTGGGTGGGTAAGGGGGCAGACATCAGCACAAGAGCGCAAGCTCCAAAGCAGGGGAATCAAAGGCATGAGGGGGGCGCGGCCCGCGGGGTCTGCAGACCTGGCGAGGTGAGGGAGTGGCCACTCCGTCCGTCAGCAGTGGTTATGGGGAGAGCAGCGGGCAGGCTGGTGCTGGCAGTCAGAGGGTTAAAAGCGTTGGCGCTGAGCGGCGGGTGGTCTTCCCACTGCTCATATTTACCCATGAGCGCCTTCCTAATGATGGCTTCCAGCCCAAGGTTGGTGCTGGTGTGTTCCTGTCCAGCCTGGTTCCTACAGGTCATGACGCCTGGGGGAGAGACAGACACATGAACGCAGGCCCCAGAGCTGGGGTTCCCCTCCCTTCCCTGCCCCCGCTGCTGGGAGTGCAAGGGAGGCCCCAGCCTCATGCAGATTGCCCAGGAAACATACAAGCGGAAGGAGGTGAGCACAGAAAACCAAGTGTGCCTGGGGGTCTGCCCTGCCCCTGCCAGGAAACCTGAGAAGAGGGGTGCAGAGATGGTAGGAGGGTGCAGCCATGCGGTTACTGTGTGTGCGTGCGGCAGCAGCGGAGCTGAGACAACCACCGGACCTGGCCCACCCACACTGCCTGGGACAAAGTGGTCCAAGCAACAGACTGGCCACCGATGGCTTCCTCCAAACGCCACTTAAACACTTTTATGTAACTAGACTTTACTGTCAAAGTCTGTGACAAGACTTAAGCCAGCTAGTGTGTGAGCGAGCTGACAAGTAACACACCAGGTTCCAAACCACAGTTCCCCACGGACTGTGGAGCGTTTACATGTTGTCTTTGTTCCAAACCCATTTGCAGCCAAAGATGCTCCTATCTTCCTGTGTGCCTGCCTTATTTTATTAGCACTAAAAACAAATAAACAAGCCGCGTTTCTCAAGAAAAATGCTAACTTTCAACAGGAGTGGGTGGTTAAATGGGGGGGGGGAAATGGACAATCCTATCCATTAAAGACAACACCGCTGTGACCCTGACCTACGCCTCGCCCCCCAATGATACGAGTAGAACTGTGCCCACAGGGTTTCCCGTGGCACCTCTGCCTCTGCGTGGACTCAAACCTGCAACCTTTTAGTTATCAGTTGAGCATGTGAACTCTCTCTCTGCATTACCCAGGGGCTCTGAGACATTAGAAAGTGGGTGTGACCAGGTAAAGAAACCAGAGCCCCTCAGTCCTAGATAATTCAGCTTAGCACCTCTATTTACACAGCAAAGCATAAAACCCAGACACAGACCTGGGAAACCAGACGGATGAAATTGCTTACACTGAAAACACATCCACAAGTGTGTCTACCACGTAGGTCAAGATGCAGAACATTCTGGAAACACCCATTTTTACTCATCAGGTTGTATTAACCAAAGTTTCTCCTTCCCGTTCCCTATGCTTGGTGTGAAGCCCCTTGGGCTGCTCCCTGCCAAGAGCACAAAACCTTGCCACAGACTCCACTGCCCATGCCCCCCAGTGTCCTGTGTTCACCCCTTTCTAGGGGTGTAGAACCCTGAATGACACTCCCCCACAAGAGGCCACTGCAAAACAGTAGGGGGTCCAGAACTCAACAGGTCCCCCATGTGCCAAATTTCTACAATTCTTAAGTTTCCATTAAAAACACGTATGACTACACCTGTCTCCACAATCCACCTGCATGTGCATTGTCAGGCGTCCACCTTCCCCAGTGTCTGCAGCTTGAATCCCAAGTGGGGGGTGGGGTTTACAAAACACTCTGAGGACCCCGGGGTCCATGGGTGAGGCCCAGCCAGGATGGGACTGACCAGAATTGAGAGGTTCAGGGTGAGGGGCCAACAGACTAGGATGAGGGATTTTATTCAGAATATAATAAATACTTGCACCAGACAATAAGGCGGGGCCGGGAGGGAGGGACACGACTAGTCTTGAACTAAGGAAAGTGTCCAGACAAGAACGAGGCGGGAGAAGCTACACTACCACGAGAACAGGTGGGATTCCTATGGGGTATCCCTGAGGTCCTGCCCTGAGTCTGCACCCCGGCCTGATCTCCCGCCATGCCAATGCCAGGCCTGGCCTGTTACCTGATCCGCTGATGGCCGGCATATTGAAGATCTCAGTGCCCGGCTGACCAATACCTGGAGGGGACAAGGAGGTGAGGCTTCAGCCATGGCTCTTGGAGACATCGCTACCCACCTGCCCTAGGCATTGGCTCAATGGGAGGTCTGGGTTGGAGCCTGTGGCGAATGCTGCCATCTGCCATTTCCACTCGGAAGACCCAGTGATAAGGTTCCCTGAGAGCAGGGACTGTGAGTGTCCGAGTGTCCCCCGGCCCCTAGCTGTCCTCTAGAGGGCCTACTAGGTGCCAGGCTAGATGCTAGCGACTGAGGAGCCCAGCACTGCCCATGCTATCCTAGGGGAGCGCTCTGTACCCTGAGGGCCTGCAATCCCCACCTGGGGTCCCTGGGGACTGGCGGCCCTTACTGTACTCTGGCTCGTTCCGGTTGTGGCTGTTGAGCTTCTTGCTGATCTCCTGGTTCTTGGATCTGACCATGGCAGAGTTGCTCTCGGTCAACTTGCTGAAAAACGCTGGCGGCTGGCTGGTGTGGCCTGGAGACTTGGAGCCCATCCTGCGTGGACAGCAGGCATTGGGTCAGCTTGCTCACTGCTCGGCTGGCAAGCCCCTGGTGCATGGGGCTCTCCACCTGACTGCCTTAGCCATTCAGAACCAGGACGCGTCCTCCCTGTTGTCCTATCCCAGAATGGTCCCTCCTGTCCTCTTATTCCAGGATGCTCCCTCCCTGTCCTCGCATCCCTGAATGGTCCCTCCCAATCCTTGTATTCCAGGATACTCCTTCCCCCTGTCCGTCCTCCTATCCCAGAATAGTCCCTGCCTGTCCTCATATCCCAGAACGCCCAGGAGAGCAGTTCTCCAGAGCTCTCTGCAGGTTAGAGTCCTTGGGTTTAGGGATCACAGGAGACACTCACATCCTCCCAGAGGAAGTGACAAACAAACCCTGTACAAGGCCAAGCTCCGTTCTCTGCCCTCACAAAAACCCGCTCGTCTGAACCAGCACAAGCTCATGACTCCTCAGGAGTCAGCCTGAACAGAAACCTCAGCCTGGGACTCAAGTCAGGGAATCACTGGGCAGGTCCAGGATCACCCAGCTGTACAGAGACCTTTGTTAACATTCCCACAGTGGGACAGAGCTGAGACCAGAGCCCTGCGGTACCTGGGTTCCGCCTGTTCCCCATCCCGGTACAGCAGTGGGTATGCGGCCCCTCGGGGATGCCCTGGCTCAGCCATGCCCTCTGGCGGGGACACAGGTTCAATTCCATCCTCAGTGCTGCCCAGGGCAGAGGTCTTGCTGGGCTCCGGAGACCTGGCAGACAGCGGGGGACCAGCTGGGTGAGCACTGTCCTGGAGCCTCATGGAACATATGTGGCTTGTGTAGCATGGCCTTGCCCTGGTTTTATCCAGTCCTATAGTGAAGCTCTGAGTCGGTTCCGACTCCACCATAGTAGAGCTCTGGAAGCGTAGTGGTTATGAAACATGCTGCGAACCACAAGGTCAGCAGTTCGAAACTACCAGCTGCTCCGTGGGAGAAAGAGGCAGCTTTCTGCTCTCGTAAAGATTTAGAGCCTCGGAAACCCTGTGCAGGGTCACTATGAGTCGGAACCGACTCGATGGCACTTAACATCAACAACGTAGTGCACATGGAGTGTGCTGGAGGAGGATAAGCCCTTCACCACAAGTTGATTTGAACTACAAAGTCAGTGGTTCAAACTCACCAGCCGCTTCTCAGAAACCCTACGTAAGGTTGCTATGGGTTGGAACTAACTTGACAGCACTTAACAATAACAACAAATAGTGTGTATGCACACAGAGCTCATGAACTTGACAAATCCCAGTCTACAGCACGTCAAGGCTCACTCAGGGATGTTCCCAAGCCCTGGGACATCCACACCACACTCAGCTCTCACAAAGTTCTCCCCTCACCACCACCCTGACAGAGTTGGATGTGTGTGTAGCTGTGTATAGTCATGTGAGTGTGCATGTACGTGTACATAAGTGTGTGTACCTGTGTGTAAGGGTACGGAAGTGCGTGAGACGTATACGTGTGCTTAAGGGTACGAATGCATTTGAATGTGTATGTGTGCATGTGTACATGAGTGTGCACATGTAAGGGTACGGGGGTGTTTGAACGTGTGTGTGTGTAAGGGAACAGGAATGCGTGTGAATGTGTACGCAGTAAGGGTAGAAGAGAGCATTTGAATGTGTGTACGTGTGTGTAAGGGTATGGGGTGCACTGTGCCTTATGAAATACATGAGAATACAAGTGAATGAACAACTGCCTGAGTGAACACAAGTACCTGTGTGTACAGGTGGGGTGGTTTTACGTGTGGACACGTGAGGTGTATGTGTGTGTTCAAGTTGAGTGTAGTTTGCAGGCTGTACCCCCACACGTGCATGTGTGTAAACTCGCACTCTCACAGCCTTGCAATGAGACGCAGGGTGAGAGAGAGTGGTCGACGTTCCTTGCTGATGAGAACCTGTCAGGTTTCAGAGCCGGAAGTAAATTAACACCAAGGTTCCCAAAGGCCAGCCTGTGAGAGCACAGCCTCCTCACCTCTTGCCCCCTTCGCTGTGTGGAGAGCCCCGGGCTGGGGCGCCATGGTCAGGGGGTGGGAGGTAGAGGTCACTGGGGGCACGGCGGAGGTCCAGGACGGGACAGCTGGTCCCAGAGAAGGAGTAGAGTGGGGCGGAGAGCGGGGTGCTGAGCTGCTGGGGGTGGTGCCGCGTATAGTCTTGGGTGATGACCTCCTGCAAGGGACGGCAACAGTCAGGAGGGCCGGCTCCCACGCCCCCAATAAACAGGTCAGTGACCAAACCACCAGGATGCACACGGTACACACCCAAGCCCATGAGTTTGACAACCTTGGTCCCCACACATTCCCCCACCCTGACCCTGGCCATGCTGACACATGAAGGAGTCAAGGAGGACAGAGAAGGGTAGTTACACTGATGTGCTGGGCCAGCGTGACCACCCGCTGGTGACCTTTGACCCCTGGGGCAGCCTGGAGCAGAGGGCTAGACGAAGACTGGCTCTCGGGCAGGGGCCGCAGATGTGGGAGGTGGGCTGCCTCCCCGCTGAGCTTCACAGGGCCTAGGAAGGGGGCAGCAGGTCAATGGGCCAGGGAGGAGACGGGCACTACCTGCCCCCCTCTCCCCCAGCCATATTCCCCGAACCCCCGTGTGTGGGAATGGGTGTGGCCGACACATACCTGTCTGCTTGTGCCGAAGTTCCGCCTCCAGGTGGCTCTTGTCGGCCCCCTCCAGGTGCTTGGGGAGACCCTTGTCGTGTGCCAGGCCAGGGGGGCTCCCAGGGCTGACGGGCTCCACCCCATCAGGGCTGTAGCTGCCACTGCCGCCACCCCCATGGTAACCTGGGGAGGGCGGAGGGTGGTCAGGGCCAGACATGAGGTCACAAGGGAAACCCAGGCTGGGGCGGGGTGGGTGGATGGAGGTGGTGGGCAGCCAGAGAGGAGGGTGAGGGTGTGTGAGGGCATGGGGAGGCTGAGATAGACAGACACACAGACAGGTAAGCAGGGCCATGAAAGAGAGATGACAGCAAGGTGGACAGACACAGGGAGAGATGAGTCAAGACAGACAGATGGACGGTGGGGTCAGGGGCGTGAGGTCAGGCAGTCCCCCACTGGCCTATGGGGTTCGTCCTCCCAGGAGCCATGGGTCATGGTGGGGCCAGCCCGAGTCCCCACTGCGAGAGAGGGTTCCTAGCCCCTCAAAAGGTGGGCTCCCTTCACCCTCTCCTGCCCTGTCTGCTTTAGCTTCTCCATATCAAGTTCAATCCACAGACAGAAGCAGGCAGAACCACCCCTACTAGCCCTCGGCACCCCACTCCCCCAATGAAGGCGCTGAGAGGGAAATGGGAGGCGCGGTAGGCGTCAAAATCACAGATCCACTCATTAATGGGAAAAAAAAAACAACCCAAAAATCCAAAATAAAAAACCACCAAAAATTAAAAATCATAATCATGGTATAAAACAACAATGTGCAAATGATGAAACGCCCGTGTTGGGGCAGCGGCAGCGGTGGCAGCTTGAGGGCCATCCGAGCGTGCAGTCGGCAGCGGCAGGTTGGAAAACAAAATACCACAACTAACGAAAAACGGGGAAAATAAAAAGCAGAGATCTGGCAGGATCGTCAGACCACAGGACGGGCGGGCGGGCGGGCGGGTGAGCGGCGGGCCGGAAGTCTTACCGTCGCGAGGGGAGACGGGGGCCAGGGCACCTCCTCCTCGCGGCCCCTGGTCGTGGGCAATTTGACGCATGATTATCGCGTCTATGAAGGTGGCCGCTGTCAGGGTGGTCTTACCCAGAGAACGCAGTTCCAGTTCCTGGATGGAAAAGGATTTACTTTGAGTCTTTTCTCGGGGCGGGTCTGCGGCCGAGGCGGGCAGCGCCGGCTGGTCCAGGCTGGTGTGATGTGTGCCGAGGCTCTTTGCAGGGGTGCGGGTGATGGCCGCGTGGCTGGGGCCAGGGGGCGCCAGGGCCCGGGGCTCAGAGCCCTTGCTGGGGGAGGAGGCGGGCTCGAGCGTGGCACGGCCAGGGGGCTTGGTGAGGAAGGCGTCGGCACGGGGTCGCTCGGGCCGGGCCACCCGTGGGCTCTCCTTGGGCAGCAGGACCGGCTCCATGAGGGTGGAGTAGACTCCGTCGAGGCTGCTACCCAGCGGGCAGTGCGTGGCGGGTGGGAATGTGGCAGTGGGGCGGACGGGCGAGGAGGTGGAGGTGGACCTGGGGAGGAGACAAGGGGTCAGGCGGCCTCCCATCTGGTCACTCCTTCACCCTGGGTAAGTCACAGTCCTCACTGCTCCGAATCAATTCCCCCATCCCCCAATTGCAGCCTGTGAACCTCTGTGGGGCAGTCTCACCTGCCTCATTCATTCATTCCACCAATACACCTGAACACCTACTGTGTGCCAGGCCCTGTTCTCACCTGGACACCTACTGTGCCAGGCACTCTTCTCACCTGAACACCTATTGTGTGCCGGGCAACTTCTCACCTGGACACCCACTGTGTGCCGGGCGCTGTTCTCACCTGAACACCTACTGTGTGCCAACCACTCTTTTCACCTGAACACCTAATGTGTGCCGGACACTCTTCTCACC